ATAATAAATTTAATCATTACAGTATTTGGGTAAGTGATCTGGTTCAATATTATCTAAATTTTGCGTGCTGTAGGAGAAAAGCCCCAAAGGAAAATACATTTTAATTAAATCGAACAGGTGTTATAGAAAAAGTGCCTTATTGCGAAATCATACATGCCTAAAATAATATCTTAAAATTCCTTTCTACAGAAATAAATTTATCGATTAATTTTAATGAAGGAAGAAAATTATTTCAACATACATGGTTGAATAATTTCGATTCATATCCTCTGCAGCTTGCTTATCTCGACTTCGTTCCCCTTATAGTGGCCGTGTTTGAAAGCTTGGGTTAGGCTACTGACCAAAATAAATATTTAGTAATTACGATATTGATTAGTGCTTAATTTTTGCTGCCGGAGATAAATGAAAACGAAAATGAAAATTTGATGTCTGTGTTTAGGCGAAAATTAAACTGCTCTTAGTTTTTAAATATTGTTTGCAAGCAGTAAAGGAACTCTTAAGCTATTTTCTGACCTGAATACTTAAGCCTTGCCAAAATGATTTTGGTGTTACTAAATGTGATCCTTCGTTGATCTTTTACATGACAAAGAGTTCATTTTTCTCGAGAATGATAGGGAAAAGAGCGGGAGAGGGGAGGGGGGGTCAGCTCTCTTTCTTCTAAGAAGTACAAAGACTGCAGCTGGACCTTCGATTGAAGGGTTTCTGTATTTCCCATCCAAACGACACTCAAAAGTAAGAGGGGTAGAGAGGTTCTTCTTTTCATAGGTAATCTCACCATTTTCAGAACTATATAGACTTAGTTTCCTGAGGCTCTGCTTGATATCTTCTTTGCATTGGCTTGACCTAGTTTATGGTTACGTTTGTTCGCTTGGCTAAGTCATTAGTTAATAGCGCTGATCTTTTACGTGTTACCTACTCATTGTTTTTCCCATGTTTCCTTCGTAGTCCCCATGCGCAAAGGGACCTTGCCAAAATGGTGGGACATGTGTGGCACAGTACTATACCAAAAGTTATGTATGTGTTTGCGCCATCGGGTTTACGGGAAAAGATTGCCAAACAAGTGCGTCTACCGCAAAGGAATCAGTACTCAGTTGAAATTGGTTTCTCCTCTTATATTTACTTTAGTTTAAACGAAACACAAAGGCTTAAGCATGCAAACGACATTTTCGTCGAAAAAGATAAAGGAAGAGCCTGTTAGGACGCAGTTGTTTTCGACTCTGGCCTCCATAAAGGTTTCAATGTCTTGACATCTAGATAGTTAAGTGTGTCGATCGGCTTCATCTTTGTTTCTATCTTTAGTTTTCGAAAAGCTTTGGACAAATGTCGAATGTTCAAATTGCTGGAAACCACGTCTGCGAGTCATCGTCAATATTTACTAATCCTTTCTAAGATGACAGGTTCTTCATTTCGAACAACAAAAAAATTATGTGTTTGTTGCCGAACACTATACATTCAAAAAACCATTGCGTCCTCACCGCGGTTCTCGTTCTAGACCGCTGATCAGAGACTCCATGCACTCTCGCGGGCTACGTAACTCTTCCTAACAACAAGAATAGATTTTTCAACCCTTATAGGGACCACAAGAGCCGCAGAAGAGCCATATGTAATATTTTTAATGCTTCTATACCTTTTGTACAGACATCAACGACTGCAAGGATGATCCATGTCTGCATAGTGGAACCTGCATTGATCGACTCAATAGTTTTGACTGCGGTTGTCCGTCTGGATTTGATGGCCCTCGCTGCTAAAATGTATCAGGTAAGGCTTACGCAACTCTTTAATAAGTACAGGGGTAAAACTATGGAACAGCTGCAGCGGTTTCATGCTTAGAACTATATAAAAAATTTTTCAAATATAGCGTTATTATAAATTTACTCCAAATTGAAAATTGATACAACGTTGACTTGTACTACACCTTTGGTCAGTCAGCCAGTTATACAAGGATATTTGTTAATTTTTGTTAATGTTTTTAAGTTCTATAATTTTATTATGAATTAATGATAATTTCAAAATTATCATTACGAATTATTATCGCCGTTAAATTGTGTTTCCTTTGGTTTCTCTGTTAGCTTTCACAATATTTCGTGATACATGAAATTTGCAATCTGCAAACTTCACCATCAATCATTATTGATGAAAAACTCTATTTGTGTCAGAATGACTTTCATAATCTTCACAGTGTGACATCGTTGCTATATTTCACAGGTATTTCCATCAATTCTACAATTTTGTCAAACATCGGGGGCTTTCTCGGTAACCTTTCACATTTCCTAGCACCTGCTGTGGGAAAGCCTTCACGATGACTGCTGTGTCACCGCGCCTCCAAGCACGGCTGGGTTGTAAACACCTTCCACACCAGTTGCGACCGCAAAAAACACACCGTGACCATCATCAAAAATGGCCAGTACTTGTTTGGAGGATATACTGATATCGCTTGGGGTAAATAGACTTTCGTTGAACTCCGAGCTCATTACTCCTTGAAAGGCCAAACTATGCACGTAAATCAGTCTCTGATATTTCCACTGTGCGGTGTTCTAGTCAGCGGCCCTTTAACCACTTCCTTACCCAAACAAAGCAGCAGTTTAAATTCTACCTACCCTTTTGTTCTTTAGATGCTTCTCTATGGCTACACTTCCAATGTGTTCATGTTTTCTCTACGGACAAAGAAGAACTGCATCCATTTAAGGGCATGTTATCACAGTCAACATATGCAATTTATCAACAATCGGGACCAGCATTTGGAGATGGCTGGGATATTTACATTGCAGATAATGCTAACAGCAACAATGAGTCATACACCCAACCTAAAAACTACAAGCTACCAGAAGCAGCACAAGACCCAACCACAATCTTGGCTGGTACACGAAACTTCTCACCTGATGACTGGGAGGTGTTTTACCTTGAGTAAAATACCTGTTCATCGACAATCCTGTCATCAAAAACTCTTTACTTGGCCTGTGATTCAACTGGCCATAAATCACCCCACAAATAATATTTAAATCCTATAGGGGTACATTCAGTAAAACTAGAGAAATTTTCTGATAGTTTCAGCACTACTTATTTACCATCCTAGATCATCTACGTTGATGGCTTCCATTCATCTGCACTGAAAAGCTTAGGTTATCCTTGTAAATGAAACCCAATAAGCGAAGGGATAGATTGAAATATACCTTGAAATATGATAATATTAATAGTAATGATAATAATTACAATAACAGTAGCAATTATAATGATAGTAATACTACTTGAACTAATGACAATACTACCACTACTGCTTTTAATGATAGTAATTATAACAATGAGAATGACAAAAATAATGGTAAAACGATTGTTAATATATTAATTGTCATTTAAGGTGTGATAGCGATGTGGATATTCACGATGGCATAATTTCAAATGTTCAGTTAGCAGTAAAAAGGAAGTGGACTTCTCCTGTAAGCAATGCTGCGTACCTGGAGCTAAATATAGAGTCCCAATTAGAACACTAGAAATAACATTAATTGTCTCGGAGCTAAGAATTTGATATTGTATACAAAGGAAGGAATAACAATAAAATTTTGCATGAAACTGACAATTTCGAAGTACAATCTTATTCAAACCCTTTGAATATTCATTATACATTATGACGTTGAAAATAGCATAAACTAACTGTGTCATTTGGCGCGAACCTTCGTTCCATGCAGTTGGTCCTCTCGACGGTCCCTTGTTCTCCCATCTGCTATAATATCTCAGCCTTCGGAGATTATTGCCCTTTTATAGTCAACAAGTCGCGTCGTCCCTACGACTGGGAATACTTCTGGTAGTTCTGGCGATCTCAATGAGGTTCCTTCAACTCAAGCCGGTTCTGGTGCCAATTTAACTCCACCGACAACCTCGGTTTCGGCTAAAACCTCTACAGAGAGAGATCTTGAGGTGTATTGTGCTTTTTTTATTGCTTCAATTATCGTTCTTTGGCTTAGCCGATTGTTTATGCCGGTGTTTTAGTCATTAGTTCCGCCGAGCTAAGCTAATTTGATTCTCATTGGCTGCTCTGGAGAATTTTGTGCAATTTTGCTTGTCTCGTAGCCTTAGCTTGGTCTCTTTTATTCATTAAGTTTCTCGGATTTACGTCTGAATGCCAGAGCTCTTCTTGCTGTCATTTCGCTGGTTGTCTTTTTGTATGATCGTTTTTACTTTAGTTTTACCCACGTTTCTTTAAGACCTCTTTTTGCTTTATGGTTCTCTATACTATGCAAGATCGTTTGGCTTTGCTTTCGTGGGGTTTATACATATGCTTATTCTTTTATTGCGCATCTTCTTCTCGTTTTTACCCGGCATTGCCGCAATATTGGGTTTTACGAGTATTTGCATTTCTATTGTATCTGTCGATTGTTTTTATAAGTGACGCTTCTTCCTTAGTTTTACATTTGTAGGACAGTTCCCACAGGCAATGTTTCTTTGTTGCCACAAAGTCCCAGCCAATCCAAAGAGGTGGATAACGTTATGGGCATGTAATGGAAAAAAAAAGAAAAGAAAAAAAGTAAGAAAGAAAGAAAGAAAAGATAAAGAAAAATAGAATAATGTGTTCGAGGTCAAAATAGGCCTGTAAGACAAGTAAACGAGGCCGAAATGAGTAGAACGACTTAACAGGTCTGTCTTCAAAGCCAATGGAGAAATAAACAGAATAGAATTTGGCCTGTCTAAAGTAAAGGAGGCCGTAATGGATAGATACTTTAGGCCTGCATGAAAGCTAACGAGGTCAAAATTGTTAGAATGACAATGGGCCTGAATAGAGAAAAAGAAAGGCCAAAATTAATAATGTTATGAGCTTGTGTAAGGAAAATGTGACCAGATGGACCTGCAAGGCTATAGATATCGAATATATGGGATATCTGGTAGCCAAAGGCTTGGCGAGTTATTTAGATTTCTCTGTGTTTTTCGTTTCCCAGGTAACAAAATTACGCAAAGAGCTCAATTAGCTGAAAAAGAAAACTGATTCCTGCTCGGTTGATGCAGCATTGATGGCTTTACAGGCCTTGGTGGGTCGTCCACCGGTCCTGTTTGATTCCTGTTCCGCGATTGCAGCTCTTGAAGAGGTAGTTCACTTAGCACAGAAGTATGTGGATGAGCGATACTCGAGGTATCAGATAATCCTCAGAAAGTGTCGCCCCCTGGTGGCAGACGCATCCTTACAGAATATCCTGATCAAATTAGTGGCCTCGAAGGAGGAAGCTGAGATTGCTAAGGCAATCGAGAAGGCGAGAAAGTCAAGCCAAGCAGAGAAAAGTTTTTCACCGCCTGTTACAGCTGGGAAAACAAGGGGACCCTCCTATAGATACCGAAGAGGTCGTGGGTCTCGAAGATGCCGGAAATGTGGCTAATGCGGGCTAACCGTGGTCATCTTTCTTGGGCTTGGGTTGGTATTTTTTCCTAGTCAGCATTTTGATTTTGTTTTCATATCCATTTTCTCGTTTGACTTCGAGGTATTATATGAATTTAGTCCCCGTGGAGTGCAGAAATCTTCCGAGATTAAGTGGGTTACTGTTAATAGACACCCAAGCCCAAGTAAGGTTTTAGGCAAATATTCGCGGACGTTGCAAGAATAGAAATAGGGGAGAAGGGAAATATGAATGATCTGCTGCTCAGAGACCCTTCAGGGTTTAGGGCGGGTGAGATCCACAAACACATTCCAGTGTGGGAGCGCATTTTTGAAAACAACCCGTCCAAGGAGCAAATATAACAGTGGTTGCAGCATGGAGTGCATGTCAAGGAATTTATTAAACCATTCAAAGGAAGGTTCAAGGGTAGCAATTATGATTCGCGAGTTCCTCCCAGAAAACACTTAAAAAACCACCATTCGTGCAAACTGTCTACAAAGTTCATTTCTAAAACATTGGTGGAAAGAGTGAGGACAGGGGCAGTTCGTGTTTGGGGTAGAGTAGGAACAGCAGAACCCCCTTGGGTCATCTTACCCATCACCATCGAACCTAATAAATGAAGGCTATGCATCGATACATGGGAGTGAATCTACTTAATCAAGATCTACCCATCTGCGATGGTATTACAGTCAATGCTTACGTCTTCCCTCCTTTTTTGCTGATTGGACCATTGCTTCGGTCCCTTCGATCTCAAAGAGCCAAGGTTACGTTTATGGCCCCGAAATTGGCCCCAACCCCCTGGCCCCGTTGTAGCTCTAGAGGTCTGCATTGAGATGTGTGACTATCTCAAAGTCGATGTAAGACGGGGGTACTTGTTTAGGCCAATAAGCCCCTCGGGAGACATACTCCCTGGGCTCGTGATTCATCAGCTGCCAAGGCGAGGTTAATTTCATATGTCAAAAAGATCCCCGATGCTTTCAAAGGACGCCACCCATTTCTTCATGGCCTTAGAAGTGGCTGCGCAATTTCGCTTGCACTATATGAGATTAAGCTCAGGGAAATCATGGACCACGTTGGCTGGAAAGCAAATGCAACCGCTTACCATTATACCAAGCTGCGGCAAGTCTTGGCCCGTGGTGGGGCTGGCGACACTTTATCAAGACTTCCAAGTGATTTAACTGAGAATTACAGACATAGAAATAACTTGTTTGGTTTTACACAAGCCTTCTAGGTTTCTGGACTACTTTACTAGCCACCGCCCTACTCCTTATAAGGCTGAGGAGGTTTGTTAGTTTGGGGGTTTATTAAGGTTGGGGTTTGTTTCGTTGTTTTGAAGAGTATGTTCTAGCACTATAGGATTAGAACTACAAGTGCGAGGACGGGGTGAATCTCATATCTCATGCTAATGAGTAAGCAGAATGGATATTGAACTATTCATACCCATTGAATGTTCATTATACATTATTACGTTGAAATTAGCATAAACTAACTGTGTCATTTGGCGCGAACCTTCGTTCTATGCCTTATCCATTCGAGCTTGCTCGTCAGGGTGACTCCCATATCTCATGCTAATGTGTAAGCAGAATGGATATTGAACTATTCATATCGCATACAATATACAATCTTCTTCCGGTACTCCATAGCAAACTTCTCCAATGTGCAACATAGTATGTTGACTCGCGTGTGGAAACCTATCATAGGACTATATTTCTGATCATAAACAGTTTGGCTTCGCTCTTTGTTGCAAAGCATTTTCGCCAGTCTTTATCACTAGGTCATTTAAATGATATATATTGATTACGATAGATAAAGACTTGTTTTAACTACCCTTGAATCTCTTGTAACTTCGGTTACAAGAGAGTTACGATTACGTAACTATAATTTGTTCATCATATAAGTCGTCCTATTAAGTCATCATAGACCAGAAATGCTGTACTCGCTGTTTTTATTTTGGATACATATACAAAATAATAGTTATTACCATTATATAAATTGCTGATTTCCAGCCCTGATAAATGCCAGAGTTGCATGCGTTTGCATGTGTTTGATATCGCTCCTAACGCGTTTCGCCTTTCACACCACAATGTCTAGTTCATTCCTTATTAAAGTCCTCTAGGGTTTGTATAACAAACAGATAATAAATGGCTGCCTGTAAGTATGGAATGACTTCTCAGTACATCTTTCAGTTAGTACGTGCGCTAAAATTGGTCAATTAATTGTGGACCTTAATCCACTCTACAACCTTCTAAATTCAAAAGTTAAATTTGTTTCAAAAACTCATTAATAATTCATAAGCCCATTAACCTATCAAATGGTAGATAATACATCACGTGCAGTGACTTTATATCAGATATAAAGACACTGCACGTGACTTATGAATATTAATTAATTATCAACACAGAAACTGACACAACAAATGGTGGGAACATATTTAATGTTCTTTCAACAAATTTCACACAGTAAATTTACTTTTGCACCAAATTAATAGTACAGTTGTGAAATACACATCTGGAAAAACTCTCTATTCCATTGGTACAGTAATCTGGTAAAGGCATATTAGACAATACATCATCTGAAACTTCGAACTCAAGATCAGTTGGCAGAAGTGACTCCAACTCGTTTTCGCTAACCTCTGCGTTTGACCTTTTGCCAGTAGTCTCCCTATTTTCAGGGGGGCCTAAAATCTTGCTAACCTGGTGTTCTTGCTCAACACTGGACTTTTCGTATTTAAACCGATAAACCTCTTCGGTTAGTAGAAGAAAAGTACAAAACACGTGTGAGATTTGATTTTCTTGCATACTAATTTAATCCCTAATGTTTTTCTCGTATGCTAATTTCTAACGTTCACAAAAGCATAATTGTTATGAACTCTCTTGACACAAAGCACCTAGGAAGCGGCTAGAGCGCTCAAGAAGTGGAGAGAAACACTCCACTACGTCTCGTGTTTCTCCCTACACTTCTTTGGTGCTCTAGCCGCTTCCTGCGTGCTTTATAACAGAACAGAGCATAGTCAAGGCCTCTCTATTTGTTAAATAGAAAACGTATTATAATCAATTAGGGCAAAAAGGTATTTACGACGCTAATTTTAAGTCAGTATAATTGAGTTCTACGTATCCATGTTAATTTTAAAGCAAACATAACCGTCTTAATGATATTCAAATACGCTTGCTTCGGTTTAGAATTATTCAGATGGTGGCATAGGTGTTGCCAAGAATGTAACATCAACTTCACCTCTTGTTAAGAGCTGCATACCCCGTACTTTCAAAGGCCTTAAATGCTACTTCGACCCGTTTAGCAATTGAGCCATTCTCTTCTAAAAAAGTGTCGAGGGATCGTTTTTGTAGGTGCAAGGGGGTTTTGTTAAATCGTTCAGACAGGTGCTCCAACGACTTACTTTAAACATCATCAGTTACACAATGCAGGTTATTATATCATGGTCTGGTCCAATAGTATAAGCTTCTGGTTGAAACAATCCTCTTTAAAACTGCCTCACAAGGCATTATAATTTATAGAGAGGCACCTGGTTACCGCTGTCATATCAAGTGTTCTAACAATTCAAGATATGGAGCGCGTTCGTCTTAGACTCCGATATTGCCTGCCTTTACTCATCTGCTTTTTTCGTTGTGTTCATGCCTCGCAAGGTACTGCAAATTACTTTCTACATTTTATGTTTTGTTTCATATTTTGCTTAATTTGGAGAGGTAATAGCGTTCAACAGAGTTCTGTAAATGACAAAAGTCATTTTCGTTGTGATAGGTTATAAAAAGGCCCGGACCTTTTCAAACATAGGTCTCTATCGAGAGTCCTCAGACGAAATGTGGTTGATGAATATGGTGGAAGAAACGTTTTCCTATTTAAACATTACCAAGATCAATTCAGCTGAGGTTCAAAACAACGGCGATTGTGCGTTTGCCTGCCTAAACGAACCCATGTGTTTTTCATACAACTTAGAGGCAAGAGCCTCCAAAACAGGAACACGCGTATGTGAGCTGCTGCCATCGGATAAGTACAACAACTCGGACGAAGTCATCATAAGCCAGAAATTTCATCATTACAGCATTCAGGTGAGTGATCTGATGTTTAACAATAAAAAATTGTACATGCTCTGGGAGAAATGCCCCAGGGGTAAAATTTAATCAGACAGATGGTTATCATTTAGAGGGGTTCGCATCAGTCCTCTACGAATAAATTGAAACTTATGTCTCTTGAAGCATTTCTAGCTTCTTGGGTGCTCTCCAAACCTCCCAAGTGCTTCATATCTCCATGAACGCACAACTGACCCATGAACAGATAACTTTTACATTTCCCTTGCGGTGATTTGAGTTTCCAAAGCTAATTTCCCTCTCGGATCTGCTTCAGAGCCTCTACAGTCGCTTCCTTTGCGTGTTTAGTGAATATAAGTCATGTTCGTGGATATTTATTTGATTGGGCAAATTCACGGAGCGCAAAACTTGCAACTAAAGAAAACCTCTCAGAAAACATATGTATCAAAAGACCGTTCGAGAAGAGAGAATGCTAAAAATAGAAAAAAAGATTCATTGTTTAAGTTCTCAGCTAAGTAGCTCCATGAGTAATAACTTGCATGAGATTATTGTTCTTAAGAAACGTGGAAACACTTTGGCGCAGCTGGGCAAAGTCAAATCAATTTAATGGGCAAGGAATTCAAATTATATTTTTAAGTAGACTTGAATATATGATCTTTCTTTCCTTCTCTTAATTTTTTGGCAAAGAAAACTTTATTGAATGGCCTTATGGATATCAATAATTCTATGGCTACTTGTCTCTATTTTAAAATTTTCACGTTATTAAAAGAATCATTATTCTGTTTTAAATAGAGAAGGGAAGCGAATCATTTTTTATAAACAAGGGAAGAGGGACTTAATTAACTGAGAAGAAGATAGACTACTGAGATATCCAGCTGGAGGGTGACTCAGCTCCTTCAAAACTTTAGAGAGGAGCAAAATCTCTTTTTGTGTGCGATTCCCATCTTTCCTTAGGGAAATTTCTCACGTAGTTATCACTTGATTTCTGTATTTCACTAGTTTGTGCCTGGGTTGCACTGGCAGATACAGATGTATCGTAGTTTCCCCGTCAAAGACCTGAGATGGACATGAGCTTGATTAAATACTAGCCCTGTATAAATACCGGTCCTGAAAAGCCCGAGTTTGCAATAAAAGCTCGGTTTACAAGCACGCATCATCGACAAAATACGGGACATAGACAACTTACTAGTTTACTGAGCAGGTTTTCTATTGTTTCTGAAGCAAACATTAAGAGTTGTTGACTCATTGTTCTACCACTAATTTCATTTTAGACACCTTGCAGCAGAGAACCCTGTCAAAACTATGGCACCTGCGTACCGCGGTACGAGAAAAACAGTTATGTGTGCGTTTGCAAAATTGGATTTGAGGGAAAAGATTGCGAAACAGGTGAAGCATTAAAATGTGTTACATCAAAATGTTCCTACCATGTGTTTACAATTCCATCAGCGCTCCATTATATTCCTTTAACGCAAGACCGATGCTTTGGGCACAAAGTTTCAGCCGAAAAGCAGTGCGAAAACGTGGGAAACTATCATGAAAATATGCGAGGCCAAAAATGCCAATTCCTTGAATGAAATCTAGATCTTCGGGATTTAATTGCACGGGAAGTGTTGACACTAATGTAACACGACAACCTTAAATTATTATTGAAATAAAGTTCGGATATAATGCGCGCTGTCGTTGGTTGAAATAGCGTGTGCTGTCAGAGTACTAAACACGGCGCTGAACTAAAGCTGACACGCCATCTGCCAATTTGAACTACGTCTCGTGTTTCCCCCTACACTTCTTTCGAGCTCTAACCGCTTCTCAACTTCTCTACAGCAAAAACAAACAAAGTCAAATACGAGCAATAAGCAAAATGTCCTCTCGTATTGTGTGTTAAACCATCGAATGAGGGATTTATTACCCCACTTTTATTTCACTTCTTAATATTTTGATTTGAGTTTGCGAAATACATCCTACGTCCTTATCTGTGCATCGTATCGATTGCATAAGCAGTAAGGGATAGACGAAAACAACACGGACGAAACAATTTAAGTGTTCTATGTGACCAACAAAAACATCTGTCTCGCATGTGAAAGTGCGTTTCAAGTCAAGCATGACAAACGCAAAAAAGAAAAATCGAAGTTTAAATCGTTCAGTGCGACCACAGTGTTGCTCTGTATTTTTGTCCTGTCCTACAGTGTAATACCGTCTGTCAGCGGAGCATATTTCGCGCGCTTCCTCGCGGACTTATTTGATAAGTTGGCGCATAATAGGTTCACTCACAGATATATTGTTTTCTTTATTGTTGTTGTCCTCTGCCACAATTGTTCCCCAGTGCTGTTTACGAGGCGAGTTGTTAAAAACTTTATGCTCCTTATATCATCGGGTGCATGAATGTTTCGAAGGACTTTTAATGTTCATGTATCTCAGAATCTCTTCAGTACGAGGTTTTGAGCGACTCTGAATCTGATGGAAACATTTTGAACTCATCTTTTTTCAAATCCCCCCCCCCCCCCCGCAAAAAAAATGTTTTGCTTGCCAATGTCCTCACTTCCACTATCTTTTATGAGATATCAAAACATTTCGCCATTGATAAAGCCACATGCTTGAATACTCAAGTACATTTTTATTTCAGCTGTCTCAGAATGCAATCGGTACAAGATTCTGAATGACTCCGATCGACTCAGCAATCTTGGTCGCGGCAAAAAATGCGATAAAAATTTGACAGAAGACTGGTACAGATTCTCGGCGTGGGCTGGAACGAATATGCCTACACACTGCTTACCGAACCATAGATGCAGCACGGATTTACCAGGGTGGATGGACGGAGCACACCCAACGGCTGATGAAGGAGTCGTTTCCAGAAAAGTTTGTTTTAGTGGCTATGATAACTGTTGTTACCGCAACATTACAATCAACGTACGGAATTGCAGCTCCTTCTTTGTATACAGACTGAAGCCAGTTTCATATTGCAACAGCCGCTACTGTGGAAAAAGTTAGAGGCTGAAACACAAATCTTCTTTTTAAGGATACTGTACATCATTGAACCTTGACCTTTAGCCGTTTGTTTAGCCTGCCGTTTAAGAGAACTAAAGGCGAATTACACAAACACGTCAAGAATGAAACAACTTTTGAACAGTTCGTCCCTTTTTAATATTTTTCATTTAGAATATTAAGGAGGCCTGATCAAGACTTTGCAGAATTATACTAGTAGGATTTATGAGAAATGCTATTCTCTCAGCAAGTATTATATTTATGTTAGTTCCTTCAATTTAGCAGCTCTCCAATCAGTATATTATGACAGACGATGTAATTTTGATGCTTACACCAAGTGATTGTTGTTGAAGGTAGAAGTTTTACAATACGTGTAATTAAGTGCATCTATCGTAACTTTGCAGTGTCTTTGATTTTCTCTGTCGCTAGAGATCCTAGAGTTGTTCTCGATAAATGCCCTTCTTCCTGACGGATAATTACAGAAAAAGCCTTTCTCGGTGTCACTCGGCTCCTTTGAGGCCTCGAGCTGTTTGTCACATAAATTCCTGTTATCGTCAGCGGAAAAGGTCATAGGGAATGTGAGATCGGCTTACAGTTGTAGTGGAGTCTCTTATAACGGATGGGGGATATAAAGTGTTAACAGGCATTTTATAGAAATGTTTTATTCCGATTGAGGAAGGCCGTTCCTTGTCACACAACATATCGTACTTCCCCGTTCTCTTTGGCTTTCAGCAACAGGAAATGTGAGTTCAAAACATTTCAAGGACTGACGTTTTTCAGAGTTCTTTTTGTGCAGTGACCTAGATGACATTTAATTTGTGGATATAAAATCCTCACTTATTGCTGGCTATCTGGAAAGTGAACTCTCGTGCGTGATAAGTAGAAATAAGTGCGTGCGAGTGCTTGATGGCTCGCAGTCGATAGCTCGCGGTTTCGACCTGACTAAAGATAAATAAAACTATTGGTGGGGCAACAGGAAACCCCTCTGACGGCATTAAATTATTCATATTGAAAACTTTTTATATGTGGCATATTTAGAGGGCTTGATCATGCAAGGATTTGCATAAAAAAGAGTAATCTTCATGGGGAATGTTATTCTTTCAGCATGTATTGTACTAGATTTAATTAGTTATTCCTGTCAACTGTAAGTGCGGTGAGTTATTTCGGATAGAGTTCTGTAAATTGTGTGAAATAAATTTCATATCCCTTCTCTTGGCGCCCTCTTTGACTTGTCCTGTTTATACTGAATGCTTATCAAAATAATGTCTGAGAATAATTTGAACATGTCTGTAACCCTTTTAAGTCGATTTGACCAAAATTTACAGAGAATCTATTATGCCCGGTGTAATACATTTTCCGTAAATATTGGGTCTGCTTTGAGGACAGGTGCTATTTCTATTCCGATTTCATGTTAAATGCAAAAAATTACCAAGAATTTGGAATCGGCTTAAGCATGGAGCAGGAGTCTCTTATGTTGGATTGTTGTGAAGCTACACTTCCGATTATTCAATAACGTTGATTTATTTTCTCTTTGAGGGCCTATTCACAAGAAGACACGAGCAAACAAAAGCGTTTAACGGGTGACATGCAAAGAGCTGGCTGTCGAACTGTTGTTTCCTATCAGCAAAACAAAGGGTCAGTTTGATTAAATTTCCTAAACTGAAGTGAGTCACAGAAGAAAACTAATGACTATTGTGATATGACCCTTGGGGAACTGCTCTGACTCACAATCCCATTGAAAACCATCATAAAGTTAACGTGTGCCGGGCCGAATGGGTTGACGTAAGCCAGAAATGAGTTGCGTTTTTCAATAAATCATGGATGTTGTTTCATGCTGCGATTATATTTGACATGTGGGTTGAGTTGATGTCGGTTCTTGTCGTTGCTGCGGGGGTTTTTCTCCGAGTCCTTCAGTTTTCGTCCCTCCACATAAAGAAATATCCTAAATTCCAATGGAAACAGTGGAACGAAGAGCCACCTTCTAGAATGCCCACTGCTAAATTTCTACTATTATTACTATTAAAAAAAGAGGTTTGCATAATGCTTTTAAACTCTCCATCACCCCCTTCGTAAATTAGCGACTCTTCTTGCTTTCTCGAGTCTCTCTGTGAAATGCACTTGATGAGATACCCTAATTGAAAGACAATAGCGCTGCTTGACGACAAGAAACTGAATACAAAACTTAAACCTGGGATGAATAAACTTAATTACTCATTTGAAAACATTGCATCTGGTCAAATGTGACTCTTAATTTTCCCCTCAATTTACCTTCTACCTTGATTTCAATTTACCTCCATCATATTACAATTTCTTCTGTGACTCCAATCCTCTTTCGTTATCTTTACAACGAGAAAGTGACCAAAGCCTTTCTTTGAAAACTTTGGAAGATAGACACCAAAATTATTTATCATTTTTTAAAGCGTGCATGGTGACAAGTTCCCATAGCCAATAATTAAAATCCCTCGCCATTTATGATGAGATGTGTATTGTAAATGCGGCGTAACACTTCACTGCAGGAACGAAAAGATTTAGAAGCGAACTTCTCTTACATGCATGTATCTTCTGGAATTATCTTTCGCTCTCGACGAATTGTCAATGAAACCGCCCTTAAACTTTTTGTTTGTTGCACTTATTTAATACATAGAAGGAGAAAGAAAATTATGAGCAAACCAAAATCTAGTATTATCTGAGCGAGGACATTGGCTCTGATCGTGAGCGACAGTTGGGCTTTGCTGTCCTCATGAAAAAACGATCGACTCACTGTGAAAGGAAAACACTTGTTGGCTCCAATAGCTTTGAATAACTCACGCTGTGTTTATAAATTTCACAACATCGACCGCCTTCCGCCTTTTGCAAGACTGAAATGAATAAAAAAGAAGTTTGCGTTCATCTTTTCGAAATTTGACAAAATTAACGCAAACCAAAACAAAACATAACCAAACGAAACAAAACCCAAAATAAACGAAAAGAAAATCCTTCATGAAATTTACATAAAACGAGATTTAGGTGAAAAAATTCAAATTGTGTGACACCTCTGTCTTTCAATTGATAACCAGTTAGTATGTTTATGGCTGTCAGTACAATTGAGTTCTACGTATCCATGTAATTAGTTTGAAGCAAACGGCGAGCCAAACATTACCGTCTTTATGATATTAAAATTCGCTTGCTTCGGTTTAGAATTATTCAGATGCTGGCATAGGTGTTGCCCGAATGTAACATCTACCTCACCTCTTGTTAATAGTTGCCTACCCCGTACTTTCAAAGGCCTTAAGAGAGGATGTCAGCATCCATCGCACAAATTTGAAATATTGTGGCAAGTCGCCCAAAATTCGTTTTCTCCCCTACTTTCATATTTTGTAGCCCAATATGTTCTAATAATTGTGGTGTAGTTTTTTAGTGAAAATATATTTTAGTTTTCGAGAAATGATTTTTTTCGTTCGACCGCTCGAATATGCAAATTTTCACCGTGAATATTAGCCGAGTTGTGTGACCTCATGTAACGAATTTACTTGACCTCCGGTTTTTCTGTGAACACAATCCTTTGTTTTATCATCTAAACTTAATCCCCTGTAATTATTGACGCTGGCAAAGAAATATTTATTTTTTTGTGAGTATTTTTGTCCGACATACTTTTTCTATGTCGAAAAGTAGCATCAAAACAAAGACAGTTTTAACAATGACCGATATGACAGAATCTACTCAGCTTCGAGCTTTTAAAAGACAAAAGGATGGTTACAAAGTTACTGTAAAAATTTCCTTCGTGTATTTGTGTCGTTCTATCGTGAGACGAACTCAAAGTCCGGCAAATTTACTTGCTAGCGACTATGAAATATACATCTGGTGCCTATTTGTCGCCACCGTTTACTGGCATAAATCACTAAAATTTGTAAAAAAATCTAGCATAATACTCTTACCTTATTTATTGACGATTTTATGAGCTGTTTCGATGATCAAGTTATGCTCTACCACATTTTAGCCAAATTTAATTTACAGTTTATAAAACTTCTCCACATTATTTTATAAGTTGCATGACAAGCGTGACACATAAATTCAAAGATGAATCAACCTCCGAATTACCAAGAGATGGGTTTTTTTTCCCTCTTTGCATATCTATAAAAACCTTCCAAGAATTACTGTATTCAGGAAACTGAAATGTCTAGATGCCGGAGGAAGTCAAAGAATGTTCACAAAAGTCAATTCGATTGACAAACTACATACTGATTTAGCTAATTGATCTGTTGTATAAGCGTTTCATCTTACATGCTAACAAGGAGATTTGCTGACAAAACTTTTTTCTCTTCACCGAAAATCCCATCAAAATTTGTCCTTGCTAAATTTCAAGTGTATTGCACGTATCAGCACCTCCCGAGGAACCCCTATACATAAGAAGGTGGGGATGCGCGCCGGGATTTTCGAAAAGGACCCCTATAAAGTGTAAAAGGTACCTGAGTCTTATCCGTGTGGGAGTGGCAACAACTGATGTCTACCCCTAAAAAGTACCAATTTAAACGCAAAAAATTGAAAAATCCTAAAAGTAGAAACTCCTTTATCGATATGCTCTAGAGGCTCAAGTCAGATCATTAAAATCGTCCTAGTAATGCTTATTTCGGGTATTTTATTAAGCGAAAAACACCCTAAAAGGTACCAGCTAGGTCTCTGGTAGTCCACTAAAGTTTGAGACATCATAAAAGGTACCAGATCACTGATTTTGTACCTGAAAAGGTACGACAAGCATCCTCACCCATATCCGATCGCCTGATGACTCGTTTCGAATAATTTTAGTCTGCTATCATGTGGCGACCGGGATGAACTCGTTCTTGAACAAAACTCATCCCGATATCATGTAAAAGGCCATTAAGAGTTTTTATTCCCAGAGCATCACGCTTTGCTCTACCGCCAGAACACCATAAATTTCAATACGCGCTGCTACTCAAACAACGATGACCGTATTTCTTCACCTATAAGCCGAGCGATTTTTCAGTATTTGACACAAAAGTTTGGAAGATTTTTTCACAAGAAACGGGGTTCGGCTTATAGCCGAGGGTTTGGAATTCAAAAACAAGTACAAATTTAATGTTAATGCGAAATGACCGTAAATTCCGTGATTGCAGCGCTCTCTACGTGACATACTTTAAAATTGACATGACAACAACGTATTTCTGACCACCATGCACCAATCAGATTCTTTGCTTCCCACACATTGAAAGACAGTCTCACTCAACTCGGCAAAAACTCTTCTCATTTCACATTACCAATGAAATACTTAGTCTCTCTGCTGTGAAAACCACTCCATCGCTTTAAGTTATTTAAATTAAAATTAGGTTTAGATGATGAAACAAAGGATTATTTTGATAGAAATACCGGAGGTCAAGTAAATTCGTTACATGAGGTCACAGAACTCGGTTAATATTCACGGTGAAAATTTGTGCATTTGAGCGGTCGAACTAAAAAAAAACATTTCTCGAAAACTAAAATATATCTTCACCAAAAAACCAAACACCACAATTATTAGAACATATTGCGCTACGAAATATGAAAGTTGGAGAGAAAACGAATTTTGGGGACTTACCGCTGTTTGTCTGATGCACGTTGACATTAGCTCTTAAATGGTACTCAACCCATTTAGCAATTAAGCTATTCTCTTAATAAAAAAAGAAGTCAAGGGATTGTTTTTCTAGGTGCCGGAGGTTTTGTTAAATCGTTGAGCAATAATCATGATATCGACGCTTTGGTCTCACGGAGACAGGTGCCCCAAGGACTTCCTTTGAACATCATCAGTTTACAAATCACGCAATGAGAGTTATTACGTCATGGTCTGGTCCAATGGCATAAACTTCTGGTTGAAACAACCCTTTTCAGAACCGTCCCACAAGGCATTATAACTCATAGAGAGGCACCTGGTTACCGCTTTCATATCAAGTGTTCTGACAATTCAAGATATGGAGCGCGTTCGCATTAAACTCCGATATTGCCTGCCTCTACTGGTCTGCTTTTTTCGTTGTCTTCATACTTCGCAAGGTACTGCAAACTACTTTCTACATTTTATGTTTTGTTTCATATTTTGCTTAATTTGGAGATGTAATAGCGATCAGCAGAGCTATGTAAATGACAAAATACTTGTCGTTGTAATAGGTTATAACAAAGTCCGGACCTTTTCAAACATAGGTCATCGAGAGTCCTCAGACGAAATTTGGCTGATGAATATGGTGGAAGAAATGTTTTCCTATCTAAACATCAGCAAGATCAATTCAGCTGAGGTTCAAAACAACGGCGAGTGTGCGTTTGCCTGCCTAAAGGAACCCATGTGTTTTTCATACAACTTAGAGGCAAGAGCCTCCAAAACAGGAACACGCGTATGTGAGCTGCTGCCATCGGATAAGTACAACAACTCGGACAAAGTCATCATCAGCCAGAAATTTCATCATTACAGTATTCAGGTGAGTGATCTGAAGTTCAGCAGAGGACCCTGTCAAAACTATGGCATTTGCGTGCCGCAGTACGAGAAAAACAGTTATGTGTGCGTTTGCAAAATTGGATTTGAGGGAAAAGATTGCGAAAGAGGTGAATTATTAAACAACTCAGACGAAGTCATCATCAGCCAGAAATTTAATCATTATAGTATTCAGCTGAGTGATCTGATGTTCAACATTGAAAAAAATTGTACTTGCTCTAGGAGAAATGCTCCAGGGTAAAATTTAATCAGGCAGAATAAATTGAAGCTTATGTCCCTCAGAGCATTTCTAGCTCCTTGGGTGCTCTCCAAACCTCTCAAGTGCTTCATATCTTCATGGACGCGCAACAGACCCATGAACAGATAATTTTTACATTTCCCTCGTGGTGGTCTGTGTTTCCAAAGCTGAATTCCCTCTCGGCTTGCCTTCAGAGCCTCTACAGTCGCGTCATTTACGTGTTCAGTGAATAGAAGTCGTGTTCATGGAATTTTATTTGATTGCGCAAATTCACGCAGCGCAAAACTTGCAACTAAAGAAAACTTCCCAGAAAACATCTGTATAAAAGACATTTCGCGCAGAGAGAATGGTAGCCCCATCAGTAATAGCTGGCATGAGATTATTGTTCTTAAGAAACGAGCAGACACCTTGGCGCAGCTGAGCAAATTCAAATCAATTTAATGGCAAAGGAATTCGAATTATATCTTTATGTAGATTTGAACATGTGATCTCGCTTTCTTTCTCTAAACTTTTTGGCAAAGAAAACTTTATTATATGGCCTTCATGGGTATTAATAATTCTATAGGTACTTGTCTCTATTTTAAAATTCTTACGTTATTAAAATGATCATTATTCTGTTTTATATGAACCTTTTTCAAGAATAATCCTTCCTCGATCTTTTTTATGATTAAATAGTATTTATATTAAATAAAGAAGGGAAGCGCATCATTTATTTTTATAAACAGGGGAAAGGGGAGTTACCCAACTCAGAAGAAGATAGACTAATGAGATGTTCAGCTGCATGGAGGTGACTAGCTCCTTCAAAACTTTAACGAGAAGCAAAATCTATTTATGAGTGTGATTACCATCTCTCCTGGGGAAAATTTGCTTCATATAGTTGCTTGATTTCTGTATTATAATAGTTTGTGTCTGAGTTGCACTGGCATAAAAAGGTGTATCGTAGTTTCCTCGTCAGAGACCTGAGATGGACATGGGCCTGATTAAATACTAGCCTTGTATAAATACCGGTTTTGAAAAGCCCGAGTTTGCAATAAAAGCCTGGTTTACAAGCACGCATCATCGACAAAATACGGGACATATGCAACTTACTAGTTTACTGAGCATGTTTTTCTATGGTTTCTGGAGCAAAGTTCGTGTGTTTTTGACTCATTGATTTACTACTAATTCCATTTTAGACACCTTGCAGCAGAGGACCCTGTCAAAACTATGGTACCTGCGTACCGCGGTACGAGAAAAACAGTTATGTGTGCGTTTGCAAAATTGGATTTAAGGGAAAACATTGCGAAACAGGTCAAGTATTTAAATGTGTTGAAAGAGGGTGTGCTATCAGAGTACAATCACGGGGCTGAGCTAAAGCTGTCACGTCATTTGCCAATTTGTGCTACGTCTCGTGTTTCCCCCTACACTTCTTTCAAGCTCTAACCGCTTCTCAACTGCTTTAAAAAAAGAACTGAGCACAGTCAAGGTTCATTATTCGTTGATTATGATTTTGATTGTGATTATGATTATTATATGCATCTCTTGAAATCCTACCGCTAAATGGCCAACAAACAAGGCATAATCTAAGGGCGAAGCTTCTTGAAGTAAGTACCGTACGCGTTTTTTGTTTGTTTGTTTGTTTGTTTGTTTTGTCTGCCTCGTGGATTGAAGTTCAGGTGACAGGTAACGCGGTTGAATCAACTTTGATGAACCAAATTATTTTTTCTTAGGCATGTCAATCAACTCTACAATATTGGCGGGCAACATAAACTTTCTCGGCAACTTGTCACATTTTTTGTCGCCTGCTGTAGGAAATAGTTCACAGTGGTTGCTGTGCCACCGCGCCTCCACGCACGGCTGGGCTGTAAGCACCTTCCACACCAGTTGCGACCATAGACCAAACACCGTGACCATCATCAAAAATGGCCAGTACGTGTTTGGAGGATACACTGATATTGCTTGGGGTAAAAAGACTTTCATTTAACTTCGCATGAAAAAGCCTAAACTATGCAAGTAAATCAGTCTCTGATATTTCCACTCAAGGGAGTTCTAGTTCTCAGCGGCCCTTTAACTACTTCCTTACCCAAATAGGGCGCTGGCTTAAACTGTACCTACACTTTTGTTCTTTAGATTCTTCTAATTCTTTTGGCAACACTTCCAATGCGTTCATATTTTCTCTACGGAACAAAGAAGAACTGCATCCATTTAAGAGCATGATCAAAGCACCACATTATGCAATTTACAAGCATCTGGTGTTTGGTCCAACATTTGCCGTGGACATTTACATTTCGGATAATGCTAACAGCAACAGTTATTCATTCGCCTATCTTAGAACCTACGAGGCACCAAAAGAATCACAAGATCCAACCACAATCTTGTCTGGTGCATTGCACTTCTCTCCCGATGACTGGGAGGTGTTTTACCTCGGTTAAAATATCTGTTCATCAACAACTCTGCCATCAAACACTATTTCCTTGGCATGTGATTCAATTGGCCATAAATCCTATAGGGGTACATTTAGTAAAAGTAGAAAAATCATCTTATAGTTTCAGCGCTACTCATTTACTATCCTAGATCATCTACGTTGATGGCTTCCATTTAACTGCGCTGAAAAGCTTAGAGTACTCCTTCTAAATGAAATCCAACAAGCGAAGGGTTAGATTAAAATATACCTTGAAAATATGATAATACTAATACTAACGTTAATGATCACGATAATAATTAGAATAACAATAGCAATTATGATGATAGTAATACTACTTGTAGCAATACAAATATTACCACTACTATTATCAGTGATATTAATAATAACAATGATAATAACAAAAATAATGCGAATATGATTGTAAATATAATTGTCTATCACGTTGTAAGAAAGATGTGGATATTGACGATGGCGTAATTTCAAATGTTCAGTGAGCGGTAATAGGCATGTGGACTTCCCTTGTAGGCAATGTACCTGGAGCTAAATATAGTAACCCAATTGCAACACCAGAAAGGACATTAATTGTCTCGTAGCTAAGAATTTGATACTGAATACAAAGGAAGGAATAACACTAAAAATTTGCATGCAAGAAAATTTCGATCTACAATCTTATTTATATCGAATACAATATACAATCTTCTTCCAGTACATTATAGAAAGCTTAAAAGGGTCGGGCCGGATAAGTTACGAATCGAAACTTTGAAAGCCCTGAGTGTACTTAAAAATGGGAAAGATTAGAAGAGTTTCTTTAAGGCAGCAGATTAAAAATCCACATTAGCCTTTGATATTCGCAACTGATTCAATATCACTGTGGTAGTTTAATTTTCGGAGTACAAAAGATTGGGGCTTCATATAACGAGACGAGCTGGTATCATAGAGCTCAAACTCAAACAAATATAATAAAATGCTGACGAAAACGTTTTTAAATGTTATAATTTTCAGTCTGCCCAAAGCAATGTTTAAAGTATGCACATCCAGATAGCTCATCGCGGTAGGGTGCCCAGGGAGAAATTGTTTCCAATAATTTCATTGGCGTTTTGCGCAAGAGAGGGAAAACCAGAAGGAAAACTTGCTAACGGAAGGGCTGAAATATTCAAATATTCAGTACCTCTCCTCACCCAAAAAGGACTCCTCATACTCTCTGCAAATGATATTCAACATTAAGTGGAGACAGTAACCATATACAACCAAACTGGTCGCGACAAGGACTCTTTCTGTGTCATAGCCTGCTTACAAAAACGTGGGAAACAACACCTGGACTCTTTTAGATCTATGTGCTCGCGAATCAAAACTTTTATGGGCCCCCACTTTCTTCGAAATTGACCTCAGCTCTTCAAGATTCATCAAGCTGTGCCTTGCATGCAAGAAAATTTCGATCTACAATCTTATTTATATCCAATACAATATACAATCTTCTTCCGGTACATTATAGAAAGCTTAAAAGGGTCGGGTCGGATAAGTTACGAATCGAAACTTTGAAAGCTTAGCCTAGAGTCTCTTAAAAATGGGAAAGATTAGAAGAGTTTCTTTAAGGCAGCAGATTAAAAATCCACATTAGCCTTTGATATTCGCAACTGATTCAACATCACTGTGGTAGTTTAATTTTCGGAGTACAAAAGATTAAAGGGGCTTCATATAACGAAACGAGCTGGTATCATAGAGCTCAAACTCAAACAAATATAATAAAATGCTGACGAAAATGTTTTTAAATGTTATAATTTTCAGTCTGCCCAAAGCAATGTTTAAAGTATGCACATCCAGATAGCTCATCGCGGTAGAGTGCCCAGAGAGAAATTGTTTCCAATAATTTCATTGGCGTTTTGCGCAAGAGAGGGAAAACCAGAAGGAAAACTTGCTAACGGAAGGGCTGTCAATAAATAATTTATCATGAAATATTCAGTGGGAAAGAAAAGATTTAAAGAGGACTCCTCATACTCTCTGCAAATGATATTCAACATTAAGTGGAGACAGTAACTATATACAACCAAACTGGTCGCGACAAGGACTTTTCTGTGTCATAGCCTGCTTACAAACGTGGGAAACAACGCCTGGACTCTTTTAGATCTATGTGCTCGCGAATCAAAACTTTTATGGGCCCCCACTTTCTTCGAAATTGACCTCAGCTCTTCAAGATTTGTTTGCACTTATTTACATACAAGGGGAAAGAAAGTAAAAAATTATGAGCAAGCCAAAAGCTATTGTTAACTGAGCGAGGACTTTGGCTCTGATCGTGAGCAACAGTTGGGCTTTGTTGTCCACATGTAAAAACGATCGACCCACTGTGAAAGGAAAACAGCCGTTGGCTCCAATAGATTTGAATAACTTGCGCTGTGTTTAGATATTTCACAACATCGATCGCCTTCCACCTATTGTACGACTGTGAAATGCATAAAAAAGAAGTTTATATTTACCCTTTCGAAATTTGACAAAATTAACGCAAACCAGAATAAAACATAACCAAACAAAACAAAACCCAAAATAAATGAAAAGAATAGAAAATCCCTTATGAAATTTACTTAAAACGAGATTGAGGTAGAAAATTCAAATTGTGTGACACCTCTGTCTTTCAATTGATGAACAGTCAGTAAATTTATGGCTGTCAGTACAACTGAGTTCTACGTAGCCGTGTAATTTTGAAGCAAACGGCGAGTCAAACATTACCGTCTCTATAATATTCAAATTCACTTGCTTCGGTTTAGAATTATCCAGATGGTGGAATAGGTGTTGCCCGAATGTAACATCTACTTTACCTCTTGTTAAGAGTTGCATACCCCGTACTTTCAAAGGCCTTACATGCTACTTCGACCCGTTTAGCAATTAAGCCATTCTCTTAATAACAAAAATGTCAAAGGATTGTTTTTGCAGGTGCAGGTGGTTTTGTTATATCCTTCTGCAATAATTATGATATCGACTCTTTGGTCTCACGGAGACAGGTGCTCCAAGGACTTCCTTTGAACATCATCAGTTTACAAATTACACAATGCAGGTTATTATATCATGGTCTGATCCAATGGCATAAGCTTCTGGTTGAAGCAATCCTCTTTAAAACCGCCCCACAAGGCATTATAACTCATAGGGAGGCACCTGGTTACCGCTGTCATATCAAGTGTTCTATCAGTTGAAGATATGGAGCGTGTTGGTCTTAGACTCCGATATTGCCTGCCTTTACTGGTCTGCTTTTTTCGTTGTCTTCACACCTCGCAAGGTACTGCAAACTACTCTCTACATTTTATGTTTTGTTTCATATTTTGCTTAATTTGGAGAGGTAATAGCGATCAGCAGAGCTATGCAAATGACAAAATCATTTTCGTTGTGATAGGTTATAAAAAAGTTTGGACCTTTTCAAACAAAGGTCTCTATCAAGAGTCCTATGACGAAATGTGGCTGATGAATATGGTGGAAGAAACGTTTTCCTATTTAAACATCAGCAAGATCAATTCAGCTGAGGTTCAAAACAACGGCGAGTGTGCGTTTGCCTGCCTAAACGAACCCATGTGTTTTTCATACAACTTAGAGGCAAGTGCCTCCAAAACAGGAACACGCGTATGTGAGCTGCTGCCATCGGATAAGTACAACAACTCGGACGAAGTCATCATCAGCCAGAAGTTTCATCATTACAGTATTCAGGTGAGTGATCTGATGTTTCACATTAAAAAAAATTCTACAAGCTCTGGGAGAAATGCCCCTGGGGTAAAGTTTATTCAGACAGATGGTTATCAATTAGAATTTCAAAACACACGCTGAGGGGCTCGCATCAATCCTGTACGAATAAATTGAAACTTATGTCCCTTGAAGCATTTCTAGCTTCTTGGGTGCTCTCCAAACCTCTCAAGTGCTTCATATCTCCATGGACGCGCAACTGACCCATGAACAGATAACTTTTACATTTCCCTCGCGGTGGTTTGAGTTTCCGAAGCGGAATTCCCTCTCGCCTTTGCTTCAGAGCCTCTACAGTCGCGTCCTTTGCGTGTTCAGTCAATAAAAGTCATGTTCATGGAATTTTATTTGACTGCACAAATTCACGGAGCGCAAAACTTGCACATAAAGAAAACCTCCCAGAAAACATATGTATAAAAGACATTTCGCGCAGAGAGAATATTAAAAATAGAGAAAAAGATTCATTGTTTTAGTTTTCAGCTAAGTAGCTCCATGAGTAATAGCTGGCATGACATTATTGTTCTTTAGAAACGTGCAGACACTTTGGCGCAGCTGGACAAAATCAAATTAATATTATGGCAAAGGAATTGGAATTATATTTTTAAGTAGACTTGAATATATGATCTTTCTTTCTTTCTTTTAATATTTTGGCAAATAGAAAACTTTATTGTATGGCCTTAATGGGTATCAATAATTCTATGGCCATTTGTCTCTATTTTAAAATTCTCGCGTTATTAAAATGACCATTATTCTGTTTTAAATGAACCGTTTTCAAGAATAATCCTTCCTCGATCTTTTTTTATGATTAAGAAGTATTTACATTCGCTAGGGAAGGGAAGCGAATCATTTTTTTCTATAAACAAAGGAAGGGGAACTTACTTAACTGAGAAGAAGATAGACTACTAAGATATCCAGCTGGAGGGTGACTCAGCTCCTTATATATAGATTTGAACATATGATCTTTCTTTCGTTCTTTTAATTTTTTGACAAAGAAAACTTTATTGTTTGACATTAATAGCATCATTAATTCTATGGCTACTTGTCTCTATTTTAAAATTCTCGTGTTATTAAAATGATCATCATTCTGTTGTTTTTATAAACAAGAAAGGGGGGAGTTACTCAACTAAGAAGAAGGAAGATCACTGAGATATTCAGCTGGAAGGTGACTCGGCTCCTCCAAAACTTTAACAAGGAGCGAAATCTCTCTTTTGGTGTGATTGTCATCTTTCCTTGGGAAAATTTGCCTCACATAGATACTGCTTGATTTCTGTATAACACTAGTTTGTGCCTGGGTTGCACTGGCATAAACAGGTGTATCGTAGTTTCCCCGCCAAAGACCTAAGATGGGCATAGGCTTGATAAATACTAGCCCTGTATACATATCGGGTCTGAAAACATATACAACTAATTAGTTTACTGAGCAGGTTCTCTCTCGTTTCTGAGGCAAAGTTCAAGAGTTGCCGGTTGACTCATTGTTTTACTTCTAATTTCATTTTAGACACCTTGCAGCAGAGGACCCTGTCAAAACTATGGCACTTGCGTACCGCAGTACGAGAAAAACAGTTATGTGTGCGTTTGCAAAATTGGATTTGAGGGGAAAGACTGCGAAACAGGTGAGGTGTTTAAATGTGCTAGATTAAAAATTTCCTGCCATTTATTAATAATTACATCAGCGCTGCATCATAACTTTAACGCAAGACCGATACTTTGGGTACAAAATTTCAGCCAGAAGCAGTGCGAATACGTTGGGTTCCAATTGCACAGGAAGTGTTGACGCTAATGTTACATGACAACTTCTTGGTGGTCTGTTGGATGTTTAGGCTTTAAATGGACATGAAGAAAAGGAATAATCTTAAAATCACCCCACAATCCATAGTTTCACTTAAAACGTTCCCAATGTCTCAATAACTTTTATGCGTATCATGTATATTTTTTTCTTTTTTTTTCTATTTTTTAATTTGATTTTGATTGATTTCTTTTAAAGTAATCAAGCACTGCGAGAAAGACTCATGTCTTAACGGTGGAACTTGCATCGATGGAGTCGTTAGCTTCGAGTGCCGATGTCGACAGGGGTTTTCTGGAAAGCGATGTGAACCAGGTTTGTTCAAAATACTTGTTGCCTATTAAGAGCCTTTATGGGAAAAAAATCTTGCAGAAAAAGGAATTCTTCGAATAGGGGATCTAATCTCGGACAATAACGAATTTATTGTTAAAAGTAATTACAAGTTGAGAGAATTAAACACCTCGCCGTTAGATATATTTAGACTTATTTCTGTAATAGACGCCTTACCAGTTGAATGGCGTGAATCATTAAACACGCCTGCTTCTACAGCTAACGAGCCTTTCAATTTGTCTAACGAAATTTTAATGACAAAAACGTTTTAATTGAAACAGTCATTTTAAAGACTATATATAAAGAACTTCGAAATAGAATCATCACTCCACCGACTGCCCAACTGAATTTTAATACTCATTTTGTTAATGATGTTTTAGAATGGAAAGAGATTTACAGCTTGCCATTTCGTACTTCCTTGGACACAAAATCGCGTGAATTCCAGTATTTGTTTGTCACAAATTCTTTTTTAAACAAAATTGGTATTGTGCGGCGAAATGAACGAATCCTTGGAGCACTCTTGTCGTTATACTAATTTCTGGGCTGAGGTAATAAAGTGGTTCGATAATCAAGGCGTAAAGATAAAACACCTCTTGAAAAAGATATAATGTTTGGTATTTTAAGGTGCGAAGACGAATTATTAATAAATCATATTTTAATAATTGCCAAACAGTATTTATATTCTTGCCGACAGAACAAATCTCTTCCTTCAATTAAAGTATTAAACCTCAAAATTAAAACGATCCACCAACTCGAGACAATGATCGCAAAATCAAATAATAAGCTAAAAGCTCATAATATGAAATGGGACAAGTACAAAAATTATTAGATGATATAGAATCTCATGTTTGTTGCTGCACTGTACTAGTATTATATTTAGAAGCCGAGGAGAGCTAAGAGGAACTGTGGATTGTGTATGTAGATATATGATGTACCGTGTCTGTCTGTTTATGTGAATTATGTTTGTTTATGAAAAATGTATGTAACTTTGAATTAATAAAAATTAATAAAATACAAAAAAAAAAAAATTATGGAAATAATCGGCGGTCATGTTGTGCGGAAACCTAGAATCTATATGGAACGGACCAACAGTAATGCTAAGGCATAATGAGTCTTAGATAATTTCCACTGTTGTTGTTGAATGAGTTACAAACAAGAGGGCATGTATGTGTGCATATGGAATGTCCACTGTTAAATTACTATTAAAATAAAGTTCGGATATAACGTGCCCTGCCATTGGTTGAAAGAGCGTGTGCTATCAGGGTACAAAACATGGGCTGAGCTAAAGCTGTCACGCCATCTGCCAATTTGTACTACGTCTCGTGATTTCCCCTACACTTCTTTTGGGCTCTAACCGCTTCTCAACTGCTTTACAACAGAACAGGGCACAGTCAAGGCTTCATTCCTTGTTAATTAATATTACGATTATGAGTATGATTATTTTGAAATCCTATCGCAAAATGACCAACAAACAAGGCGCAAGGTGTAACCTAAGAGCGAAGCTTCCTGAGGTAAATACCGTACGCGTTTTTTTTTTTTTTTTTTTTTTTTTGCCTCGTGGATTGAAGTTCATGTGACAGGCAATGCGGTTGAATCAAGTTTGATGGACTATGTTATTTTTTCTTAGGTATGTTAATCAATTCTACAATATTGGTGGGCAACACAAACTTTCTCGGCAACCTGTCACATTTTTTGTCGCCTGCTGTAGGAAATAGTTCACAGTGGTTGCTGTGCCACCGCGCCTCCACGCACGGCTGGGCTGTAAGCACCTTCCACGAAAGGTGCGACAATAAATATCATACTGTGACCATCATCAAAAAAGGCCAGTACGTGTTTGGAGGATACACTGATATAGCATGGGGTAAATAGACTTTCATTTAACTTCGAATTTATTGTGCCTTGAAAGGCCAAACTATGCACGTATATCAGTATCTGATATTTCCACTAGCGGCCCTTTAAACCAAACAGGGCACGAGTTTAAATTTTACCTACGCTTTTGTTCTTTAGATTCATCTAGTTCTTATGGCAACACTCCCAATGCGTTCATATTTTCTCTACGGAACAAAGAAGAACTGCATCCATTTAAGAGCATGGTTTTACAGTCACAATATGCAATTTACAGGTATCAGGGGTATGGTCCAACATTTGGAAATAACCATGACATTTACATTTCGGATAATTCTAACAGCAACAATGATTCATACACCTATCTTAGCAACTACGAGACACCAAAAGGAGCAAATAAGCCAACCACAATCTTGTCTGGTACACAGTACTTTTCACCTGATGACTGGGAGGTGTTTTATCTTGGTTAAAATACCTGTTCATCAACAACCTTGCCATTAAAAACTCTTTACTTGGCCTGTGATTCACTAGATAGTTTCAGATATCTGATAGTTTCAGCAGTACATATTTACTATCCTAGAGCATCTACGTTGATGGCTTCCATTTAACTGCACTGAAAAGCTTAAGGTACTCCTTGTAGATGAAATCCAACTTGCGAAGGGATGGATTAAAATATACCTTAGAAATTTGATAATATAAATAGGAATGACAATGATAATAATTACAATAACAATAGTAATTATCACGATAGTAATATTACTTGCACTGATAACACTACTACTACTATAACTACCACTACTACTACTAAAAGTAATAATAATAATTATGATAATAATAACAATAATAATAACAAATAATGATAAAAATGATTGTATGTATAATTGTCAATCATGTTGTGATAGCGTTGTCGATATTCACGATGGCATAATTTCAAATGTTCAGTTAGCAGTAATAAGCGAGTGGATTTCTCCTGTAAGCAATGCTGTGTACCTGGAGCTAAATATAATGACCCAAGCTAAGAATTTGATATTGTATACAAGGGAAGGAATAACAATAAAAACTTGCATGGAAGAAAACTTCGATCTACAATCTTATTCATATGGAATACAATATACAATCTTCCTTCGGTACTCCATAGAAAGGTTAAAAGTTACGAATCGAAACTTCAAAAGCTAAGCCTAGGAAAGATTAGACGAATTTCTTTAATAAGGCAGCAGATTAGCGAGAGCTTAAAATCTTTCACAGATTAAAAAAAAATGTACCCTCTCCCCCCCCCCCCCCCCATCCACATTAGCCCTAATATTCGCACCTGATTCAACATCAGTATCGGTGGACCCAAATAAGACAAAAGTACTATCAACCGAAGTTAACACCTTCAAACGCAGGATAAAAGAAGCTATTCAAATTAAACTTAGGAAACCGGCGTTAAACAGAGACAATGGTTACGAATTAGCAGCTATCTATGACACAATTCTAACCCCCAAGAGGCGTTAAAAAAACCTTTTCTAAAATTCATCTTTTTAACATTCATATCATTGACTGATGAAGTCCGGTCGAAATACGGACGAAATATTTCATAAGTTTTAACTTTTAGCTCCGAGTTTGGAAAAAATTTTTTAACTTTTACTAAGCCTAGAGTTACTAAAAAAAAAGGAAAGATTAGACGAATTTCTTTAATAAGGCAGCAGATTAGCGAGAGCTTAAAATCTTTCACAGATTAAAAAAAAATGTACTCTCTCCCCCCCCCCCATCCACATTAGCCCTAATATTCGCACCTGATTCAACATCATTATCTTAGTTTAATGTTAGAAGTAAAAAAGATTAAAGGGACTTCACGTGACGAAAAGAACTGATATCACAGAGCTCAAACTCAAACAAGTATAATAAAATGCTTACGAAAACGTTTTTAAATGTTCTAATTTTCAGTCTGCCGAAAACTGTTTAAAGTATACACATCACTGATAACTCATCGCCATAGGGGTACCCAGGTAGAAATTGTTTTTTAATAATTTCATTGGCAAATGAGAGTGAAAACCAGAGGGAAAACTTGCCATCGAAAAGACTGAAATATTCAGTACCTCTCCTCACCAAAGGGACTCCTCATACTCTCTGCAACTGGAATTCAATATCAAGTGGAGACAGCAACTATAAACAGCCAAACTGCTCGCGACAAGTACTCTTTCTGTGTCCTGCTCACAAAAGCGTGGGAAACAACGCCTATTAGTAATAGATTCTTGTAGATCTATGTGCTTACGAATCAAAAATTGAATCTATGGGCCCCTTTTTTTTCGGAATTGACCTCAGCTCTTCAAGATTCATCAAGCTGTGCTGTGGAGTTTTTCAAGAGATCTAAGAATTAGGTTAACTGTCTGTGCGCGTCGGCACATGGGAGGGAGACCATCAACAATTTCCTCAATTAAATCGAATGAGTAAAGTGATTTAAGCAAATTTCAAAATGGCGGAGGTTCTTCTTCAATTTATGATCGATCCAAAAAGTAATGAATCGAATTAGTTTTTGTTGTGGATTCACAGGGCTGCGCCTCGCGGGTCCACAACATTTCGACTACTGTGATGACGAATATCGTTGTCGATAAAAGTACAGTCCACGCTAAACGAATGTCGATTTGTTAAATCATCGAGTGTCAGGTGCTGCGCTGTTTCTCGCTTGGTTATGATTTATTTTGGGTCGAATAAATCATTAATTTATAGCGGGGATCTAAAATTCTGCAGTTTGCACTATCGTTCTTAAACTAAATCAACACGCAGTTGGTGGTTCTTCATCATTAACTATTGAACAAAAATCGTTGACCCTTGTCGCCCATATATGAACCTAGAAACCACAACAAGTTGAAAAAAAAATTGCAAATATTGCCAAAGGTTTCATATCAACGTATTTATAACGAGACACGCCATGTGTAAGGAAGAACCTATAAGACCTAAACTACCAGCAGCAAATATTCTTTACGACAATGCATAAAAATATGTAGTATTGCTTTAAGCAATCTGTTCAGTCGTCCGTAACTCCGATTAAAGAAAACATATTACGATGTCGTTATCTCAAAATCATGCGTGCGGTGAAGACAAACAAGCAGCAACTTTCTCCCGTTTGCCAAACGTTTGCGCCGGTATGGCGCTGATTACGGGCCTGTTTACATAGGGGTGGCACGGACACCAGTTAGGTGAGGTAGCCCGCCTATTCTTAAATTACGTTTTTTCGCCGACGTTTTACCACACTTCGCCGTAGTGACGTCCTAAAGTCCTCAATTACAATTGCGATAACAACCTTGAGAAAATTCACCTCGGTATCCCGGGTTGTAAAATTGTGCGTAAACGCGGGCTATTTTCGACCACAGCTAGGCGGATTACCCCACCTACCTGGCGTCCCTCACATCCATGTAAACAGGCCCTTTTTGGGCTCAGGAGGTTCGATAGTTGTAATTTATTCATCTCTGCGCTCTAACTTTAAAATTTTTATTTTGGAAAAGGTGATTTCGGCTCTTAAAAGGTGTTCAGACATTCTTTAAGAAAGTTCGTAACTTAACTTATGCCTGTATATTTCGAGCACAAGTTGAATGCAAAGTTATCTCCAGCCCCCAGAGGTTGGTGCTCCTGGATTTGGTCGGAAATTACACGCCCATTCATCCCACTAGGTTTTCGTATCAGGCGGTTGCACGGGGTTTGCCTGAGTGTGTGAATTTTACTTCTACTATCAACGGATTTCTGTCTTTTAAAAATTAAAATTTTTAACTCGAGCAAACATTTGTGCATGAACAATATCTGAATTAAACAGAACGCATTACCGACGGCTAATAGCGCATAAATAAAAGTTTGCGGTTCACGACTCAGCTATGTAGTTTAGTGCACATGGTTACAGAATTTCTCTCAAAACAATATTAAAGAGTAGACTCTTGGAAAAAGGAAGAAATCGAGTCGAAACTTGAATAAGTACGTAAAATTTCTTTCGTAAAAATTATGTAGAGAATACACCAGTTTCAGATTTCGATCTGCTTGTATTGTTAATATTGTAAATGATATCATGCATGATCAGAAGCTTTTATCGCTGCATTTTATTACGTTAGGACGTACGCTTAAGTGTCTCTTCCTAAGTGGTTGTCTAACGAATCACGAAAATATATTTTTTCACGTTATTGCACGTTTGACTCAGACAAAGTTCTGGATTAGCGAGAGGTTATTTGCCTTACTAGTCAGAGGAATTAGTTGTTTCCTCTCCTAAATTCCCCATTTTCCTCGAAGAGGTAGCAAACAATTAAGACTAGGCTTGTATACATGCTACACCTCAACAGTGTATTGTCTTATCTCAGTTATCAACGCTCCATCAGAGAAAAGGGCGCCACAGTAAGGTGGCCAGTAATCCTAAGAACACAAACATTCCATCCAAAGCTATCTAAAGAAACGATGACCTTGGCCATTTTAATTTTAGATGTAATAGACAAGGTCCCATGTACTCGAGAAAGGACAAAACAAGACCACCCACGAACGCAGTAAGAAGCTTGAAGTGAGGAATTAACACTGCTACCAGAAGTGCGAGAAACGCTGCTAAAAATCTTGTCATCGCAATCCAGATAAAAGAAGGGATAAAACTTGGAAACTGCATCCTTCAGTTTAGAACTATCCAGGGATTGGAGAACTGGATGTACAACTAGCGCATAACTGAATACAACATACAAGATATACACAACTGGGACAATCGTGCGCGGGACACCAAGCGGGAAATTGTTTCCAATCACTTCATAAGTGCTTTGGGAAAAGCTTCGTGGTCGTCCGATTTTGTTCATCCCCAAGTATGGTTATTGACCGAATCGGACTCCACTCGGTCCATTACCATGGCGATAGTAAGAAAATTCTTTTGCCCAGGAAACCAAATGAAATCATTAAGGGATTGACAGAGTCAAACTAGAAAGAGGAGGTGGCCTGAGGCACCAGGGAGTTTTTTTTTTTGTTTTTTTTGTACAGATTCCACCAGTCAAAAACGACAGCAACATTTAAAGGGTATTTATTGCAAGCTAAGAATACAACTGCTTCATTTAAGCATGTTTTCATAATGCTCTGCAGTTTTCTTGTACGTATCAGTCTTGCCATTTTAGGTTAACACTTCGTGAAATGAAACCATATACATCGGAACATTCTTCAATCTGAAAGAAAAATAAAAATGCATTAGTTAGGTGAAGGAAGACTGGCACCTAATGTCCTGTAAAGATGACCAATAACAAAAAGGGATTCTGCCTCACTCAAAAAAGGAATCGAAGTCGTTTTGTGGCCTGAAAAGGTCCTGCTCTGTGCGCATGTACGGAAGCGAAGCCAGGTTACGCTAACCTTCCGATACCTTACCATTGTTGGTGCAGAAAGGTTTTAAGGTCAAATTATTACCTCTGCATTTTTGTCAAAGGCCAAGGGTAAATATAACGGGACAGTGGGCTAAGTGACGAAACAATGAACTTGAAATTCACAGAATCCTACATAAGAAAAGTATGCACTGCAGTTTCCCCGCTTTGAAGTGTTCATAACCCTCTTTGACGCGATTAATCCATTTCCTCTCAACTTACGCATCTGTGCTCACTGTTCCCGCCACAGAAATCTAAATGAGTACGGGTTTTAACTAATTCATTTGTCAGTCCACCTACTGAGTAAGCGATAATTACGAAAGTAACAGAGATGAATGTGCCAACTTACAATCTTGGCTGTGGGTTTCCCAAACCCATGACCAGCTTTTGTATCAATTCTGATCAGCAAAGGATTTGTCTGCAAGAAAACGATATTTTTTTGTCTTTTTGTTACAAGTATTGTACGGTCATTCGGTTTATTTACACTGTAATGCTCTGAAAACATTTGTCATTTGCGTTTCTGAGGTGACATTTTCTGATGATGAATATTACCTGCTTCTCGTAACTACCAACACAATGTTGCAATTGGGCGATGTACTTTAGAGAATGTAAGGGGACTACACGATCATCATGGTCAGCAGTTAGCAGTAGAAGTGCAGGGTACTGGGCACCACTTTCGGGAATCTTGATGTTATGAAGAGGAGAATATCTGAGATAAAACCATACCACTTCATCATTGATCAAGCGTGGAAATTGGATCAGGGCTATGTCGAGGTCCACAAAAACGCGAAAATGAACGAGACCAGTACTTAGCCATACTGGTCGAACATGCGTGGTCACTAACGGATTTAACAAAGCGCTAAAAATATCACAACGCATAAAAAATGGAAATTAAATTCACGACACTCGTCGTTGTTTCCTTGGATTAGATTGTCCTTGAGACTCCCTAATGCTGTAATTTCCACTACTGTAAAAAAGGCGTCAGTCGCGAACCAGATCAGATCTTTTGCTTCATTTTTTTCCAGCTATGAAGCTGGCCGGCCAAAATAATCAACTAACTTGTAACATAAGACACCGAGAAACATTTACTTCGGTTTGCGACATTTTGAGCCAGATTTAAACTTTCTAAAAAATGGCATGTCTTAAAGAAAAACGAGAACGTTCTTTCAATTTTTCGATTAAACTGTAATACGGTTTGGTACTAGACACATCGCAAACAGCAATAAAGGATTTGGAGGCGAAGTATAGCCAGTTATGCAGCAAAAATCAACCAATCAGAACTTGTTCGTCAAAACATCAGTTGCTGTAACCAACTATAGCATTTTCTATGAGTCACAAACGATCATACCGTATAACCATGCTGCGCATGACTGCGTCACGCACTCTCTTTTGGATTGACAATCAGGTTGTTGTTTAAGTATTTTTTTACGGAAGGTAGGGAGGGGGAAGATTGTTGGCCAGCTGTAACTATTGATTTCTATACAAAAAGAGCTTGAATACCACCAAGAACAATTTTAGAGTATCTTCTCCACTGGTAAAGAAATACAGTATTATTAACAACCCACTTGATAAGCCATTTGAAATCCTCCTCCTTATCGGGTGAACCAAAGTCTGTTGTCCTTTACGAAAAATAAAAAGCAACAACAACATCAACAATAAAAAGGTAACAAAACAAACTTTTCTTTAAGAAATCTTTTAAGAGCTGCGTTTAGAACCTGATCAGATTAAGAACATAAATCCTACAAAAAGATGCTCACAAGAAAACCACTAAAACGCAACAATGTAAGTGATTAAAGCATATTACCACTTACCATGCATGGCCGATGGTAAATTTATGAAACTTCAGCATGTCCATAACTCTGAGACAAGTGATGAAAGGATTTCAATTAGTTCATGCTCAAATTATGAGACAAGACCATGACAAATTCTCATAACTTACGGAACGTGTGAAACAGCGCAACCAAACAACTCTGGTCTCTGATTTATGCACGCGCCCACCAACAAGCCGCCATTGGATCCACCAATGATGGTTATTCTTTG